TTTTAAATTCATGATCACTTGTGCCTAGAGTAAGAACACACATCCCTAGTGAAATTATAACTTTGCATGAAATTCGCTTCTTTGCAAGCCGACGACGGCCGAGTGTGAATCATTTTGTATAGGGTCTAGGACACCTGAAGGCCAAGTAGGGAGAGAATTTTTAAATTAAACTTTTATTTTAGATGTAATGCTTTGTTTACCTGAATACCTGACTTTTAGCGATCACTTTAGGCTTTGTCTGGACTTTGTACTCGTGGGCTGGCCTTCAGATCATGCTCAGGCTCAGTTACTTTGCCCTGTTTAGAATACAGATATTATCCACTGCCTTCTTCCACCCTATGAAAAGTCGCAGGACGCTACACTGGTGGCAGCAGAACGCGGGCCGGACATTTTTTTAACAACCTCTATCCTATCAAGTACCGTGTGTTGCTTGTACCAATGGTGTGCAGAGGGGGAATTAGCAATGGTGACAGGAGAATCCCTGAATCTCTCACAATGAAAGGGTCGAGACTGGCGTCTGCACTTGGCTTCACCTTATTCCCGAGTTCTACAGACAAGCTATTAACAACTGAAGCGACACCACTGTGGACCATATGGAAGAGATTCGTGTCGCAATTTCTTCCACAAAATCCGTGTTTAGGTGTTGGGAATGACACCACGGTTCTCCTGACATACTGGACAGTGGTCCGCCCCGTTTCTCCTGTAATATATATGATCTAGACCAGAGTTCAACCGTCTATTCCCGGTAGCAATTGACGATCAACGGGTGTATGCAGCTCCAAGTCTGGTTGTCAGACCGAACGTACCTCCCGAGCCAGTTGAAGCTGTCGAGGAGACCAAGTCCCCTTTCTCGGTCCCATGCTGTCTATCGACTGGCACGGTTGGTTCGTGGATGCTTTCTTGTAGTACCGAATATGTTGTGATGGCTGGTGTGGAAGGTGTACCAAGGGGAGCGCCGAGGACGTCACTCAAAAGAAAAGAGGGACAGTGTAGTGCTTTGTATATGTGACCACATGACGTTTGGCAGTCACTTTAGAATTTGTTTGGCCCTTGTACTCGTGGGCTGGCCTTCGGGCCATGCTCAGGTCCGTTTGTTTTTTTCTCTTTGGAATATATCTATCCAGCCTCACTTACTGCCTTCTTTCACTCTATGGGTAGTCTCGTGGCGCTACAGTAAATGGGTCATTGTAGCGTTTCGGGACCTTCTGGCCGGTATAAGGAGTTAGCAAGTGTGGCTGGATACATTTATTGTGAAGACGAAAGGCAAATGGGTCTGGACATGGTCCGAGAGCTAGCGAATTTTAAAGTGACCGCCAAACGCCAGGTAGTCACACAAACACAATCATGACTTGTGACAGGCGTGGTTGGCTATGTCCCTTTGATCACGGTAACCCAAGGCTGTGT